TGTCTATGAGATCGAGATTTCTTTTTTTTTTTTTTTTCGTAGACGAGATGATGCGACATCTATCCTTTAAGTGTTCGTATTTGATTCTTATCAAAGAAGGATTAAATAAGGGATGTGATTTTAAAATTTCTTGATTATTTAGAAAGAATGTAATATTGAACTATTGTTCGAACACTTAAGAGATGGATTTAATTGAACTTTGTTCAAATTATAATTTGTGAAGAATTCAAGAGAGATAAATAATTAAATAGTAATTAAGAATATAAATTTTTAGGAATTTTTTACGATATTAGATTTATCAGTGGTATTATTCAGTTTTAAGAGCGTATAATAATTTTTACTTACCAATTGAATTTGAAATAAACAGATTCGTTTTACGAATTATTGAACTTATTAAATTATGAAACGAATTTTCGTTCAATTCCTTTTTTTTTTTTTTTTAAGAAAATTGACTATATCTTACAGAAAACGACAGCCAAGAATTCTTTCGTCTCGATATATTTGTTCAGAGTGTCACGATCGATCTCTTCAATACTCTCGTCCGTCTTCTGCTTCACCATCCAATCGAGCACTTCGCTCTCGTCTAGCAGATTACCTAAGTTATCACAAGGTTGTTCGATATACTATCATCTCTTTCGTACGAGATAGTTAATCGAAATGTTTCAAAAAAAGAAAAAAGAAGAAAAAAAAACTAATAAATTTCTAGACTCTATTTATTTCAAAGATCTGGAATGGCTGATTTGGAGATTTCTAGATGCACAAGGAAACTTACCCTTTTACAAATTATGTCATAGTTCAACGATCAATGATCAGAGATATCAAAAAGAAAATGTTCATGGATAAATCATATATCGCTCTATTTACGTAAGAATTTCTTTCTTAAATTTTAAAAATTAAAAAATTATTTAAGCGATTTCTTTTTTTCATCTGCCATTTAAAAAATTTATGAAGGATAATACGTTGAAAATCCTCGGTCGACTATTTGTAGCAAGAGTATCGTGATATGTGTTTCGATTCGAGAGTTTTATCATGAGTGTCTCTGACAAGCTAATGAACAGAAACAAACGGGAAAAAATACACGAGAAATACAAAACATCAGAATGAAACGAAATATCAGTTCCATTCAGTTTAATTCGAACGTTCACGAGTCGTATACAACTTTCATTTTTATGGATTTAACTTTCATTTAATGGAGATAAAAATCTGTTTCTAGCTAGTCTGGATGAATTACAAGGGCAAGGACGCTATATCTACCATTAGCAATAACGGGCGAAGCAAAATACAAAAGGATACTAATTGGTACTAGGAAATATATTTATTATCGAGTTTTATTATCGTACATGTTGCTCTTATGCGATTAACGAGGATGCCGTACGGCAGAAATTTGCGCAAACGTTTAACGAGCATTAAAATAATTCCATGCCTGATAATCGCGATCACAGATGCAGTGCGATTATTAAATTTATTATATCCTTATTATACGAATAGACATTTAATAAATAATCAATCGATGCAATTTTATCATTACATTAATTCGAATTATTTTATATTTTGCATTTACAAAATTCAATTATTAAGTTTTGATCAATGATTACCGAATTAATCGTTTAATTATCGCGCTAGAGAATCGGTGATCGCGACAAAAGTACAGTGTCCACGCGAAATTTATCTTTGTATCAACGTAGATTTTGTACAAATTATCATCGGCATTTAATTGATTTTCGGTCGAAAACAACAATGAGTACAGAAATCAACAAATAATAAGATAATTGTATAAATAAATAAATAAATAAATAAATAAGGTGAGCGTTTTCCATCCGATTTTCCTCTGCCTGGCTTTCATCCAGGGAGAAGAAAGAACAAGAATTCTCGATGTTTCGTACTCCATATCTTTTTTTTTTCTTTTTTTATGGAGGGATTCTTCGTTAACTATTTATCCTTTTTTTTTTTTTGATTTTGATATATGTTTAGTGCTCGCTTGTGCGGCCCAATAAGCGATTAAGCGATTAGTAATAGCTGGTGTAACAAGAAACGCACGTGTTCCTCGACGTTTTATAGTTGAGGAATTTCAAAAGAGGGTATGTTTATGTCGCAGCCACGATCAGTAAATAGGAAAGAAAGGGGAAGAATAGCGTGATCGATATATCATATCATTTTATCCGAAAAAATGATCCGAAACGATCATAAAATCGAAGATACGTATGTACAAAGTCGAGATGTTGTGCCGCGTGTAAGTGTAAATTATAATTATATAAATGTAAAACTATCATACACAAGAGAAAAAGAAGGAAAAAGAATGATGGAGAGAAAAAAGGGTTCACGAATCAAAAGATAGAAATAATTCTCTAAATCGGCAGAATCACAATCTGCCACAATTCGCATAGGCGCAGAATCTGAAACGAGATAAATAATTATAATCCTCGAGTCTCTGGAATGAGATCAAGAAAAATAGCAGTCGTTTATTTAGGATCAATGTACGATCGCCATTGGATACCAAATTTGCTATGTCGCTCGCATTGCACTTGACATAAACATACTCTTGAGAGATCTGCAGATTGATTAAATAATTATAATAATTAAGAATCTGTTTCAACCCTGGAATTGAATTACGAGGATAGTGATATGCGTGATGATCAAATATATATATATATATATATATATATTTTTTGATCGACGATAAATAAGCGAGGTATTCCAGGATTAAAACCAACGTAAGTGAAAATTAATTAATTCAACGAAAATACATACGTCGCTACAACCTATACCGCGAACTCTAGGTAGAACACTACGGAACGTTCGAAAAATATTTCTCCAAAAAAAAAAAAAAGAAAAAAGAAAAAAAGAAAAAAAGAAAAAAAGAAAGAAAGAAAGAAATACTTCTTCTAAAAGAAAGTCCTACCCCGTTCTATCGTGAACGTTACCGACCAAAAATGCAAATGGAATAGCGGTATCTTGTCGTCGCGACAATTAACAATAAAACAACGATACGCAAAATTAATTAATGGCAGGAAGATCAAAATGGATATACCGGTCTGTTTGCGGCGGCCATCTTTGATCAATTGCATTCATTTCGATTCACGCGCATGTAAGGCTTTTTTTTGCACGAGAAATGCATGTGGATTTATTATTATTATTATTATTATTTTTTTCTGATTTTTCATTTTTTAAGTAGTAGTAAAAATCGTTTTAGTAGTAGAGTGAGCAAGTCTTATGTTTCTCGAAAATGAAAAGCAATGTGCAGTTTGTTGTTCATTTTTCTTTTTAATGTTTTAACAATACTTATTGTGTGAATCAAACGTGACGCGTAATGATGATATTTAGATTCGCTGATCTATTTGCAGATTTTTTTTTTTTCCTTTCTCATGAAAGCTCCGACAAGAACGATTGTTTTGCGGTGAATGCTTGGGTAAATACACTTATATGAAAAATAAATATTGGGAGGATTACAGAAAATGTTAAATGAGGGATGCAAGACGCATGATTCCTCTATGATCGATGTCGATCATGAATTCTTGATGAAATTTGAAATATTTATTCGTGACGATGAACGTGGAGGAGATAAATGATTACATCGATGATGATAATGTTTCGAGATATCGATGACGAATCAAAAAAATGACGATAACAAGTTTGTTCAGAAAGAACGAAATTTTTCTTTCTTTTTTTTTTTTACGATCTTTTCTTCTTCAACGTTTCTCCCTCTCTTCTTCGTCAGTCTATCTAAAATCGATAGACGATGGACGATTCCTGCTCTCTTCTACTCGATTCTCCTTCCTCATTATCATCTTCTTGCCTTAGACACATCGGTTTTCTCTCTCTCTCTCTCTCACTTTGATCCATTTCGTCCTCCACCTCGTGCTTCCTTCTCCTCGTTCTTTAGATTTTCATGATGTACGGAAGCCCGGCCATAACTGCAACAGGCCACAACCCCGACCCAACTCTCAGTGAGACGTAGAAAAATTGTATTCTCACGATCCTTTCTCATCGCGGAATTTTTTTTATTACTTTTACTTTTATTTTATTTTTTTCGTTTCATTTTCATTCTAAATTAGATACATTCTTCGTTCCCATAATTATACGTGTATATATATATGTATATATATATTTTTTATTCTTTTTTTTTTAATTTTTGTCTCTTCGGAGTCGACGAATATATATATACGCCTATGATATAGTTTTGTGAGTCGCGTCGTAAGCAACCTTTTTTGTTTTAAATTATCACGAATTTTCGATCGACGATTACAAGGTTCTTGGACAGACATACACAATGTAATAGGAAACAGGAAAGGATCTGATAAACATATCTGTGACGGAGCTATAAAGAAAAATAATCTCTTACGTGTCGAAATATCTAATCGAACAAATCCTCTTTAATTTAATTCGATTCATTTTTAAAAATTAAAACTTGTTAAAAAAAAAAGGAATAAATCTCCAATTAAAAGAAGAATTAAGAAATTATAGCTCCGTCGCGTTTGAATCGTTTTAATAGTTACGTATCTATTATATATCCGGTACGCGGACGCTCTAGAATATTTACAAGATGGCCGATCGAACATGTGTTAGAGATTCTCGCGGAATTGTTATCCCGACGATTCGAGGAATCCGAGGAGCCAGCCCACCGGCTTTCCTAGGCACGTTTCTTGGATCGTCTTGCTCGTCCAGAACTTGCGGCTCGTGATTCTCTTCATGGACCGCGCGACACACCTGCATCCGAGATACGAAGACGTTTCGTCAGCCGGCCCTTTTCTCACTTAACGTTTCTTTCCAGCCCCCGTCTTCATACAGTCACTTCGTTTCTATATCTAACTATGTCCTCCTTATATTGCCGATCAAATCACTGCCCACATAACACATGGACATTGATTTTCTTTTATTACGTTCATGATACTTGAATATCAAACAGAGATAAAAAGATGATCACTGGGCGGCCAAATCGATCGAACAAAAGTGATATTTTCGATCATTTCGTGCACATATATGGTCCTTTCATCTTGATGTAATTAATTGTAAAATTACTATTGTCAAAAGCCATTTTTATAATAGATAAGTAAAATAAATAATAGATATATAAATAATTCTCTGCGATCTTTTTTTCTTTTTATAATTGCATAAAAATATATTTTTGATAAAGTATTACACGAATTATTTTATTTTTATTTATGTATATGAATTAAATGAAAATTAGAAGAAGATGTTAAAAATCTATTATGATAGATATAAAATATTTGATATGTAGGCCATAAATCTTTTTTACTTTATATATAGATAAATGTATTGAAATAAAACAAAGAACATCTTACAAGCAACCTTCCAAAAATAATTTTGTAACCTCTTATTTTGCAATTTACAGATTGGAAATCCATAACTTAAAGATTTCAATACTTCACTTTTGCTCGATCAAGTTACATAATATTTCTCTTCGTCATATTTTATATTATATTATGTTAATGGTTAAAATTCTAAATTTTACAGATGTCAATGAAATGATGAAAACACTTAAATGATCTCTTTGCGTAATGAGATGTTTCATGTACAATAATTTCGATCGATAACAAAAATCCCTACCCTATTTTTGATGATCGACTAAAAGAAATTATATATTAATATCACGCTTAATCAGACCTACGTTCTTTCCGTCATCTTTTCATCTCTGCACACTAAAATACACGTTTCTCTTTCTTCTAATTCTTCCTCGTTTAATTATTCTTCAACATTACCATCCTTGCCCGAATAGATCTTCCATGAGATACTTAATCTTCGTCTTGAGATACTTAATCTGATCCTGGTCGTGTATGGGGGCAGTGATTTAATCCCGCGATAATCACAGCCAGTCAAGATATTTACCGCTTCCGAAGAATCCTTTCTTGGCCTTCTGGTCACTTGATTTGCTAACCCCAATCGTCGCCATTTTTCTGCTTTCCTTCGCGGTGAGTTTGTTAATCGGCTTCAGACCGGGCAATCCCAGCTTTTCGGACCTCTCATGAGCTTTGCCCTTGTCCTTGACCGCCGGATTGATTTTCGTGGCCTTGGCGATCTTGGTGCCGTGGGCGACTTTGGCAGGACAGCACTGGTAGGGCTCATAGGAGGGAATCTTGGGTTTCGCGCTTTTACCTCCCATGCCGATGTAGAAACAGCCGTCGCCTGCAGTAAGCAAATCATACAACGAGTCAGATATAGAGAGTTTCCAGACAAAGATGTATGGCAGAAAGAAAGACAGAAAGAGAGAAAGAAAGAAAAGAGACATAGAGAGAAAGAAAGAGAGAGAGAAAAAAAAAGAGTTGGTCAGAAAAAATTGGCTAGCCTAAGGCTGAGTGATTTGTTCCTTCACGAGTCAATGAGGATAGGGTAGATTTGATGAAAAAAAAAAGAAAAAAAATAAAAAAAAAAAGAAGAAACAATTTAGAGAGGAGTGTGAAAGGTAACAAAGAGAAACAGATAGAAGATGAAGAGATGAAGATATTGATAAAAAAAAAAGATGTGAAGAAAAACAGATAGAGATAGACATTGAGAAGATTGATTCGATTGACTCGTGAGATTTTGACGTTAACTAGTGCAGAGAGAACGTGTCACTTCAATCCCAATTGCGTAGCAAAAGCCAAACGTGCATGTTTCTCATTGAGGAGAATATCTCGCGGCGAGTCGACGACTCTTTTACGTCATTTTGGCGTGGACCAGCCTCCACTTAAATTTTCATCAAGAAAAAAGAAAATAAAGTTAAAAATAGAAGTAAAATTGATTGCTGTATTTTTCAATTTCTACATTTTATTTACGTTTTAATGGCAATGAGACGTATAGTTAAATATATTTTTTTTTTCAAACTTTTTTATACAATTTACACGCTAATGAATCGAAGTGCTTTGAAATTTGTTGAAATCACGCGAACAATGGAATTGTTGGCATGTTTCATTGTGATATTAATTGCGAGATATTCCGAACGAACCCCTCCCGTGTTATCTCCCCGCTTTATCAAGCGGAAGCCAGTCCGATTTTCTTCGACTCGGAGCTCGCTGCAGACGACAGCTGTCAACTACAACAGGAACCATCGGCTCGCTTTGGAGAAATTGTTATTATTTCTTATGTTGGGTAGTAAAAGTGCGATCGAGGTCTTCTGGAGCTACGGTACCACTATTTGAATAACAATAATTTTACTTACCTAAAGAGAAAAAAAGAGAGAGAAAATAAAACAAATAAAAAATAACTAAAGCTTAGCGACAAACGTATATAATCTAATAAATGCACGAATTAGATACGATCAATTTTCAAAATGGCGATTGTATTTGGTCACGTAGCTCCATTGACGAAGGAAAATGTCATAAGGCTGGCATGCACGAGGGTAATTCAAAAATTTTAAAAAGTGGAGAATAAAAAAAAAAGGGACAAAAAAGGAGTCAAATTGAGTGAGTTAAGGAATAAAAAAGAAGAATAAAAAAAAAAAATAACAAAAAATAATTTTAATTTTCATGCAGGTACGCCCTACGGCCACCACCTCGACCGTAAACGGCGAGTGGACGGCCATGTTTCATTCAAGATTACTTGTTATATCCGAATCGTTTTACTGATAATATAAAATACACATATATTTCTACGTTTTGTTTTCTGCAGGGATATCATTTCATAGCATTATTGCTTTCTATTTTATGTTTTTTTTTTTTTTATAATATCGCGCAATACAAAGCCCGTCACACTTCGATCTCTCACGTGAAATCCTCTTCGGCCTCCTTGGTTGTCGTTGGACCTTTACCTTTGTCCAGGATATTCTTCAGGGCTTTGTTCAATTTCTCATTTTTTTCTTCATTGTCGTCATCATCGTCATCATCATCATCATCATCATCATCATCATCATCATCATTATTATCATTGTCATCATCATCGTCGTCATTGTCTTCGTCATTGTCGTCATCATCGTCGTCTTCGTCATCATCGTCTTCGTCTTCATCGTCATCATCATCATCATCATCATCATCATCGTCATCGTTATCATCATCATCATCATCATCATCATCATCATTATCATTACCTGCGTATTAACAGGGTCATCGATAACATTCTTCGCGACCGGAAATGAGAGCGTGTACCTACGTTTTTTGTGATCGATACGGCCTCTCGGTCCAAGGGGTGCATGCATTTTAGAATGGATCACATTATTTATGTATATCACAACGAACACGTACGAATTTGTTAACGATATTGTTTCCTGTATAAACGATTGCAACATATTGTTACATATATTTGGTAGCATCTGGAAAAAGATGTTGCGTGTTCGCGTGTATTTTTTTGAATGTGTGCATTCATCGAAATTTTTCTAATTTTTCTGCTTGCACTGTTTCGTCGCCAGTGATCACAAGATTTTGTAAAAAGAAAGGAAAAAGTACAAAAACAAATAACAGACAGTTCTTCCTTTGAATTAATAAAATCTTTACTTACGATCTCTAATTCATTTAATTAAAAATCTTCAAACCAAGAGCTGTCTTCTAGT